TCAGGGTGTCCCATAAGTTCGGGTATGTTGTGTCTACATTCTCATTAAATTCTAGGAAGTCTTTAATTTCTTTTTTATTTCTTCCTCAACCCAGGAATGGTGCAATTGGGTGTTATTCATTTTCCACATGTATGTAGGTTTTCTGCAATTCGTACTGCTGTTGAATTCTAGCTTTAATGCATGGTGATCTGATAAGATACAGGGGATTATTTCAATTCTTTTGTAACTGTGGAGGTTTGCTTTGCTGCCAGCTATGTGGTCAATTTTAGAGAAGGTTCCATGTGGTGTTGAGAAGAAGGTGTATTCTTTTGTGTTTTGATGGAATGTTATATAGATATCTGTTAAACCCAGTTGGGTCATAACTTCTGTCAGATCCTTTACTTCTTTGTTAAGTTTCTGTCTGGCAGTCCTGTCTAGTGGTGTAAGTGGGGTGTTGAAGTCTACTACTATAAGTGTGTGTGGTTTTATGTGTGGTTTGAGCTTTAGTAATGCTTCTTTTACATATGTGGGTGCCTTCGTATTTGGGGCATAGATGTTCAGGATTGAGACTTCATCTTGATGGACTTTTCCTGTGATGAGTATGAAATGCCCTTCTTCATCTCTTTTGATTGATTTTATTTTAAAGTCTAATTTGTTAAATATTAGGATTGCTACACCAGCTTGTTTCTTGAGCCCATTTGATTGGAAAATCTTTTCCCATCCTTTTACTCTGAGGTATCGCCTATCTTTTAAGTTGAGGTGTTTCTTGTAAACAGCAGAAGGATGGATTCTGTCTTTGTATCCATTCTGTTAGCCTATATCTTTTTATGGGTAAGTTAAGACCATTGCCATTTTCCTTTGTCCAGTATTTAACAACAATAAACATCCCTTTAAAAAGCGGAACACCAAGGGAGTATGAAGCTGTATAGCAGCAGGCTATTTGCAGGCTCTATCATTCCCCTGGGGAGAAGGTGATGGGAAGGGACTTGGGCAGAAGCTGACTTCCTGCCTCAGGTGATAAGTCCTTGTCACTGAAGAGGAGGGTTTGTACTATTGCTGCCAGACCTCTCTGCCCTCCTCATGGGGTCATCTCAGATGCTGGAGCTGGGAGGAACTTAGTTGGAATACAGTAACACTGAGCTGGAGTATTAACTGGGAGCCTCTAAGCCAGGCCACACGGTGAGTTATAGAGGTGGCAGCATATCAGTGCTAACAGAAGTGCATGCCTGCAGCACTGGATCCTAGATACTGTACCTCATAGACCATGTTCTGGGCTGTAGAATGATGGAGCACCAGTGAAGAGTGTGTTCAGGGATGCTTTCTTTAGGATTTGGCCATCAATGTTAGCAGGTGTAGGTCCTTAGCTGTTTAGCTCTTAGATAAGCACTGAAATGCTTGTAAGTTCTCACAGGACAGTGCATTCCACATCTTGCCACCAAGCCTGATGATTTGAGTTTGATTCCTGGAGCCCACAAGGTAGATGGGAAGAACTAACTTATGGGAGTTATTTTCTGAACTCAGCACGGGTGCTGTGGTACACACACGTATATGGGCACTCACAATACTGTTTTTGTGTAACGGAATGGAAGTTGTAGCAGAGGATCTGTCCCCAGCGCCTCCCACCCAAAAAACTTTCAGTGGTTTTCCCTGAGAAGGTGAAAACAGTGACACTAGGATACCATTTCATGTGTATCTGAAGTTCGTTTTCCTAAAATCTTTTAAAAGTGTTTGAATCTAGTTTTTGTATTTTATTGTTCATAATTCTGGAACTGGTTCTGAGGTAGAGTTTGGAAACTAGGTTAAGTTTTATAGGTTTTGGTAATAGTTTAAACAAAAACAAGGATGTATATATACACTAAGGACCAGCAATTGTAATACCTATGCACTGGAATTTATACTGAAGCACAGAATACAAAATGACTTAGTCTCTTTTAAATCCTACACTGCCTGAACTTATCTAAAGCATTTAGTGCAACCAGGATAACATTTCTTGTGGCAAAACTTTTCCTCGGGTAAATTTTAGCTAGGAGATTATATATTATTATTCCTGCCATTCTTCATATTACAATGTGAAGATAGAAAATGATAGCCAGCCCAAGTTGACTTTTAATCATTTTGTATTTTGTTTAATAATATAGGTAGATGTGTGTTTTGTAGGACAAAGAAGCACTAGCAAGACTTTATCCACATGAAGAATAATTTCTCTTATTCTTTAACAGATACTGTGCTTGGCAGAACAGATCAAGTTTACTGAAGATGTAGAAAATGCCATCAAAGACCACAGCCTCCACCAGATTGAAACACAACTG